GAAATTGTTGAATTCTGACTGACCCTCCTGCCAAAGTGTAAATTCTGCTTCAAACGACCAGAGAGAATTGATTTCGCGATGATGGACCGAGCGATGTGTATTAAGATCGTTCTGTATTAGTAGTAGTCGCAAACAGCCAATCGCGTGATCGCAAGAGTAGACTATTTCCGGTCATAAAACAGCAATCGCAAGGTTGTCGAAATTCCAAGTTTGCGTTTCTGCGATCTTGCGGCAGCCAATAAACGTCGAGCTTCGCACAGTCATGAGTGATCTAGAATCGACTGAAGATGAATCTCTGAATGCGAACTTGGACAATTTTCTTGCGCCTTGCGATCGTACAATCGATTGCTTACGACTAAACCGAATCTCTTCAGTAGCGCGATTTTGTAAAGGCCCATCCACAATGAGATTAGTAGTGGGCAGTAAGATGTAAGCAGTGAGTTGACAATCGATTGTTACAAGAATAATCGACTATAATTGGTCAATTTGTTTACTGCTTACGTCTCACTGCCCACTGCCAATCTCATTGTAGATGGGCCTTAAGGGCCGTGGCACACAAAAAAACTTAAGCAGTAAGTAAATTAACCAATCACAGTCATTGATTCTTCTTACGATCCAAAAATCAATGACTATGATTGGTCAATTTGCTTACTGCTTACGTCTTACTGCTTAAGGCTGTGTTCGGAAACGTCACTCGAGTACTCTCCCTCTTTTTTTTATCTCACTCTTGTATTTCGCTCACTCCAACGGCTATCATCTAGTAGTGTGCACACAGTGTGTGTTTTCGAAGGCAGCATAAGTTTTTTGGTGTGCCACTAGCCTAACTGTCGACAATATCACTAGAACTGTGTATTGTCGCGCATCTTTTATACATATACTATATTTGCGCAACGTTAACGACAATAGTTAACAATAGTTAACAAGTTACAGAATCGCAGAGGCTATTTGTACATGTTTACCGACAATTATCAGTTCGGTACATGTGTTATGTAAATATAACTATATTTGCGCAATAACAAATCGAATCGATAGTTGTCGGTAAAGATGTACAAAATAGCTGTTCTGATTGGTCCCTTGTGTAGATACAAACATAAAAATAAATAGGCAAGAAAAGCTTGCTCGCGCTGTAACACACATACAATCGAGTCTCCATAGGTAATATATGTTAATCTTAATCTACTAAAAGGAGCTTGCAATCGAATTTAATACTTGAGTATATAGAAGATCTCAATTCAACTCCTCAACTCCAACTTCAACTTTAACCTAGCTTTTCTTACCTATTCCTATGTCTGTATCTATACAAGGAACTTTGAAGTCCGGAACCAATCAGAGACTGTATCACGTGATCGGGTTTGCCGCTCTCTCCCTATGAGGCTCTCCCATGTGTACGGAAAACTCTGAAGGTGCGAAATTCAAATTCTTAAATTTCAAATTTTACGTTAAGCCAAGCACGTCTAAATGCGCGCTTATTTCCGAACAATAAGTATTAGTCCACGGATGAGCTAATCATAGTGGAATGTTCACGGAAAAGGCCTCGCCGAGGATACAACCCCCCATCGCTGTGGTTTAGCCGAACGCTTCTCTCCCGTCGTGGAAACCGCGCGAAAGAAACAAGCCTGCACGAGGAGCGTGGAAGTTTTGTAGCCGCGAGGAAGTTCCGTCGCGATTTTTCTGCTTACCATATCATACGAGTGTAACGGGGCCGGCCCAACGCGAGTTATGCTAATGCTCGATGTTCTTTCGGAAGTTTGCGAAGTTCCGCGGGTTTTATACGAAATGTCGTAAAAGTAACAGGCGGCACACAGGACGCATTTCGCGTCGTCTGTTTCAAACTTTCGCCTTTCCCGTGCAAGAGGCAGATTGCTCTGTGCGTTTACTTTTTATGGGCCTGATATTACAAGCGACACGGCACGTTTTGCCCTTTCGTATGTTCGGAAAGATATTACTGTACCCAACACACACACACACACACACACACACACACACACACACACACACACACACACACACACACACACACACACACTCTTTTGTGTATCGAAATCCAATATTATTGGAATATTATTTATTTAGCTGTCGGAGAAATTGTCGTCTCCAAGTTCTATGAAGTTATATACAGGATATCTGACGATAATGTATAACATTTTCGTGTACGTATATACTGGATCAAATTAAGCAAATAGTCTTCTTTTTGCAAATAACTATGTAGATTTTTGAGTAATTAACTGAAGAAAAAATCGACGAACAATCTCGCCTGATTATTCGCCAATCTTATTCGATTGATAACTCTTGTTATATGTGCACTCTTCTTTTTTCCAAGGCTCCAACGTGTGATTAACAACGTACTATTTTCCACGTAAGGCATCTTCGATACAGAAAAACGAGCCACGCAATTTTCACGCCACCGACAGCCAAGTAGCGCATAACGCGCCGGTAGATCAGCCGCCTACGGCGGCGTATAAACTTTCAGCAGACGTACACGTTTATTGTCAATCGTGCTTCAACAAGTGTTTCTGCATGAGATGCAAACAATTCGATACAGGCGTTATCAGTTGTACGGCGGCTCGTTATCGTGCAATCGACGAGTCTCGCGAACGAATTAGCGCGCCGATTAACGTTCGAGAGGAAGAAGTCCTTGCGATACTCAGTCGCGGGAGAATTACGAACGAGCGCAGCACGAAGCCTGAAATTACACACACACACGCACGCACACACGCACACGCGCACACGTATATATACTGGGATAAGATAAATATGCACGATAGGAAAGAATTCGATTGCATTGACATGAAATTAGATTGTAACAACGCTCTTTGATCGAAGAAAACGAGATTTCTGGTTGTCAGAACTAAATTTGGGTCGTAGTAATCACAAAAATTCTGCGTCCTTCAATCAAGTTAATCGTATAATTATTTATATAATTATACGATTAACTCGATTAAAGGCAGAATTTTTGTAATTACTACGACCCAAATTTAATTCTGACAACGAAGAAATCTCGTTTTCTTCGATCAAAGAGCGTTGTTATAATCTAATTTCATGCCAATATAATCGAATTCTTTTCTATATGTGCATATTTATCTTATGAGGAAAACTGCAAAATTTAGGTGTGTGAAGATGTGAATAAAAACAATTGTTACCACATATAGACTTTGATGCTTAGAGCAACTTTACACTTCTGCAGCCAAAAGGAAACACTGTGGAGATTCTCAGTAATGATGCATGTAAAAACCACGCAGGTGTACCTTCCCGGGTTAATGCTCTTCTCGCACACGCCGTTCAAATTAACCCGCGTGTACTCGGCGCGTAACAGCGTCTTTCTTCAGAACCTGACGTGACGAGAGCCACGTGTCTCCGGAGTTTTTCAAAAGTCTGGCTGCGTATGCGACTCCGGTCAAGAGGACGCATCCTTCGTGGTGCATGGCAATTGGCCAGCGTTGAATGCACGCCATATGCTGTGTGAGAAATCGACAGGCAACGATGCCCGGACGCTACGCTATGGAAACTGTCGCTGTGGAAAGTGTAGCGCATTTTTGAGAAACGCGTTCTTCTACGTAGTCTGGTCTGGTCTAGTGTGTAAACCGTGTTGTGTGCACTGTATCAACTATTAGTGCTCCTCAACGAGTGTTCCACGAATGGAACAGCAGCACTTCACATGGAACCGGAATTCCACGGGGCATAAGAGCGTTTCACGAGCCTCCTTCGAGCGCGCTCTGCGCAAAGTTTTCATGTCGTGAAATCAATCTTATCGCGCGCGCGAGAGAAAGAGAGATAGAAAAAGGGAGAAAGGGAGATTTCAGTCGTTCTGATAGAAATGGACTTCTTGTTATGTGCGAAATACGCGGCACTTTGCCGGAGCAATGTTCCATGGAACACGGTCAGCGAGCACAATCGAGAATTCGACGAAATCTTCGTGTTTCGCGATCGTGTAGGATCCCGATTGCCGCCGCGCGCCGTATGCTTCCGCCGGCTTACGAGCCAGCCGGCGTACGGCCATTGTTTCTACCCTCCGCGACTGCGGTCGTACCTCTTATTATCTGAAGGGTTGAAACTGCTTCTGTCAACACCAGCGTCGACTGGCCGACGTCGCGTTTTCGTAGCGCGTCTCTAACAGCTCAGGGCGAATAATGCACGGGTTGAAAGTATTTTCTCTTGTGTTCGAACTATATATAGAAACCACGGGGATTTATCTCCCAGATCAGGACCGAAGAAGAAAGTACATTTTTCGTAGGCAGGTGCAAAGAAGGTGCGCTCCGAACTTTCAATGCTAACATTGACGATTCTGTCTGGTTTCGTTGGATTCGACTGATCTTTCAACAATCGAATGAGAACGTTAGTTTTTTTGCTTGGAATTGCTGCTATCAATATTCCGCGTGTATCGCCTACATTTATTAAAAAATATTTTTCATAAAATTGATATTACACTATTTTTTAATTTATTTATTATGAAATTACTATTCCTTTATTTATTATGATACTAATATCTTATTATAAAATAAAAATTTTACTGCTTGTTTATGCATTCTACTTGTCTCGTTTATTTATTTTTCATAAAAATATGCGGTATACAAAAAGAAGAAAATTGAAAAAAATGTCAGTCTAGATTAAATAAGAACTCTATATTCGCTATCTACGCACAAGTCAAATATCTCTGATACCTATGCAAATATGTGTACGGTTTTACAATAAGAAACTCAAGGGCAAAAATATTTACTTATGCGCGATTTTTTTCTTATATGTCTCGTAATTTTTTCGTGCCGAAATGCTGTGCTACACAGACACGTTCCTATCTGTCTCAAGTATTTTATTTCAAACTTTTATATTTGGTTAATCAACCTACTCTATAGCTAACTGTGGTCTCAAACTCTTCCATATATCACATTATTATCATATCGCATGTTGTCATCTATATTATATATTATTAACGCTCCTTTCTCATATATTGTCGTATACACATTATATGATTATCACATATTATATATTATTATCGTATCATACTTTCCGATCGTATATTTTATTGTCTTCTTAGTTGTTTTCTTTTATCTCTAGTTTTTGATGCTGTTAGTTCTTTTTTATTATATTTCTCAATTTTTCACCAAGACTTCGGTGCTTCGATGAAAATTCCGACGGATTTAACGCGACCTGGCATGTCTAGGACAAGCCAAAAGATAGCGAGGGAGTAGGAGGAGAAGGCGGCAATACAACAATATGATTATATAGCGTGCTGCACCGGTTCTCTGCAGCAGCTGCCGTCGTTTTGGGGGATCCCACTGGGAACGGATGGTCGTCCGAAGTACCGGTAGGAAAGGGCCAGGAATGAGAAGGGACGACAAGGCAAGGAAGAGGGAAAGAGGGTTCTCGTAGTAGACCCCTCTACTGTAGAGGGCCTCGCTTGGGCCTTAGGGCCCGGCGCGTACAATACGTTCAGGCAAGAAGAAGCGATAGAGCGATGGGAACGACTCGGCGAGAGGAAAAAGGATAGGAGGGGCCAGAAAAGGCCCCTTTCTCCTTCTTTTTCCATCAACGTTGAACGCATTGCAGAAACTCGAAAGACGAGCTATACGAAAAACTACTACCTGGTTCGACCGTTGAGCTCTCATCACGAAAAGCAAAACTAGATTTCTTTTCAGGTTGCTTTAGAGAAACGAGATGGAGCAAGAGAGTCTGATGAGGAAGATAGAGAGAGGGAAAAAGAGATGGAGAGGGAAGAAGATAGAATCTTATAGATGGAGGTCAGGGTCCCTTCTTACCTTCTTACTTCTTATTCCTTCTGCGATGTCCGGCTCTTCCCAAGCTCCGAAATCTTCCCAGTTTTTCTGCCACGTAAGGATCCCGTGTATACCCTGGCTTCCAGAAGGATTGCAATACATAAATCTATCGTGTAGGTTTGAATTTAGGTATGTGAATAAATCTAATGACATAGCAAAATAAAGAAAATGTTTCAGAAAGTAATACGTTTGCTTCTGAGATTCGGTCATGCCGCAAGATGTAGCGGACACAAACATACAGTTCGTAATGCACGTGCATGCGTCCTATTGCATCATCAAATCGCAGTTGCACGATTTTCCTATTATATATTTTTGGCCCCTTTATTCTTTATTAAATCTTCTTGTTCAATTTCTTATGTGTGTATACGTATATGAAAAGTGGAATCGGTGAAGTGGATCAACGGAAAATTTTTTTGCACGGAAAATCTTAACACTATGCCATCCGGAGGCACCACGTCGGTGTCGCATGCAAAGCTATCGGACAAATACTGGCGGCAGACAACATAATTTTTGTCACATGTCAGGCGGATGTCAGTGTTAATAAATATAGCGATATGTTTTGCGATATATAATGTTAAAACTAACAATTTCTTAACACGAACGATTAGTATTAATTAATTAATTTAATTAATTATTACTATTAATGAATACTAATACTATTACTATTACTAATACTATTACTATTAATTAATATTATTACTATTAATTAATTTAAACAATTAACTATTAATTAATTATTATATATATATGAATTATACATTACTTATGCAAAACATAATAAATACGATTTTTATACCGAATATAAGTAATTGCTTCTTTGAGGCTTTACTTGGCGCACAAGGCATGGTAATATATCTCCATTTTATATGAGGATTTCCGCATTCATTTTACTTAATTACGATTCCCCTTTCACTGAAGTTAACACGAAGCGAATTGTGTGCATGTTTACAAATCAGCGAAATAAAATTCTCCAGGAAAAAAGTGATAGCACTTCTTTTACCTCACCGTCAAATTAAAACCCGTTGCGTAATATTGTGCGTAGTATTTATACACTGAAACGCTCGTCGGTTCGGTTCGCACGGGTAAAATGTAGTTGTCACGAAACTCGCATTTAATATGCGCCGATCTTGCATGACGTAGTACAGCGGCTCCTTTCACCCTTGTAAGGGTAACAATCGGACCTTTTCATCGGAGCTCTCCTAACACGTATTACCCGTTAGTTGGACGCAGTTGTATCACATAGAGAAGCAATACACAAATTAATCCTTCAGTAACAAACAAGTTACTTTGAAAAATGCAAACTAAACGTCATCATTTCCCATCAATTACACTCTAAGATTTCCTTAATACTTTGTGCAATGCACGGCTATTTTGTCTTTTAAACCTTTTTTCGAGCAATTCTTATAATTATCTTTTTCTTTATAATTAATATCTCGTTATATATATAATTCTTACTCAAGAAATATTGATTTTCCTCGAAGATTCTCTATCTAAAATTGTTCACGTGAAATTTGAGATAACTTGTACATCATTTTTTGTCTATTTCAAGTCGAGTTATAGTGGTAATAATATAGATACGTTTAATTAGAAAATTCGATATCTTATGTAAGACAATTTTCAATTGATATCTGTGGATCTTAGTACGTAGATCTGAGTCAGATCTGAGTTTTTCAGTTGAATCATGCAATATATATGTGGCATTATATATGTTTGTGGTGATGATTCTACTGAAAAACTCTAAACACAAATCTGACTATCTCACTTGAGACTAATATTACTAAAAGCATAACATTAATAATAACAACTATATCGTATAATAAGCCTATGTCCATAAGAGTCACCGCACCATGTTATTCTTCGCGGAGCGCGCGAGTGAACGTTTCTGAGAACAATGAATTATATCTCTACAACAAAACTGATATAATTGACATACCTTGTTCTCGTTTCAGTGTAGATTTCTCATTTCTTCTTGCAGAAACACTCCGTGTCTAAATGCTGCACGGCCTGCGGCGTAATTAACGTTTGCCGAGGTACCAAAGAAAGTGTCAAGATTGAGCAGGTCGTTCTTCCACCTGGCGGTGATCTCGCCAAAATTCTGAGGATGCTGATGCCGAGTGGTCTTAGCGTCGGCGCAGTGGGCGCTGTAGGCGCCCCAGGACCCGATGACCTAGTGCCAGGACTGGGAGCCCTAGCCGCCACCACGCCACAGCAAAAGGATACAACTTTTACAAAGCTATTTGTCGGCGGCCTACCTTATCACACTACGGATAAAAGTTTAAGGGAGCATTTCAACGTTTACGGAGACATCGAGGAGGCGGTCGTCATTACGGATAGGCAGACTGGGAAGAGCCGGGGTTATGGTTTCGTAAGTATTGTAATTACGAATTCCTTTAGTTGTTTTTTTTATCGCGTGTACTCTCAAACTGTTATCGGACAGACACGGATTGGTTGAATTAATTTGACATCTAAGTACATTAATCACACTGTTTTAGTGAGAAATGAACGATCTATAATTTTGTGTTCATAAACTATAATTTTTAATGTGCCCCGAATCGAAATTTTGATGCTACTTTAACACTCTTAAGGATAGTTTGCGCCTATTTAGATAGTTTATAGCCTAAGTAAAACCTACTTTGACGGTATTGATACTCATTAATTTCTTTTTTGAACCTTTAACTCTACCTTGTCGAAATTTTGATGCTCCTAAAAATAGTTTGAGCCTACTTAGATAATCTACAACCTAGGTGAAACTTATTTTGACGATATTAATATTCATTTCCGAGTCGAAATTTTGATCCTATGTTGAACCTTGAATTCTACACCGCAGTAGGAACTAAGATAGCAAAGTAGGTTTAATTGTAATGATATAATTTACTCCTACTTTGCCTCTGTTGATGTCTGAAATATATGCAACAAATAAAATATATATTTTGTATGCTATTTACGTTTCTGTTTTGTTATTTATTAAATTTTTTAAATATTTCTATACATATATTCTATGTAGGAGCTAAAATTTCAATAGAGGAACTGAACCTACTTTGCTTCCTAAGATTTTACTATATACAACTATACTATTATACAACCTACTTTGACGCTAAAGAAAGCGAAAGTGGAAATTTCAGACAAAGGATTTCATCAGGGTCAAAATAAGAGTAAATTATATCATTAAAATATTAAACCTACTTTGTTATCTTAGCTCCTACTGCGATAGAATTCAAGGTTCAACATAGGGTCAAAATTTCGACTCAGATGATTAGACAAATTTGGTACGAAACTCGCCTCCTTTACTTTGATGAATCTTGAACCCGGGATTGTGAGTCGGCTGCCCTTTACGTGCTACGTCACTTCTCTAATTAATCGATCTGTTACATATTGTCTGTGTTCAACAGTCGTTTAACCAAACATGTCATGTTAATCTAACCATGCTCTTTTTCCCGTATAGTCATAATACCAGACACTTGAGTGTTGTTACTATATACATAGTAAACAAACTCTGTATGACTGATATTACACCTAAATTTTGGTTGCATATCAGAGCACCTCGTTATAATAACAATCAGAAATTCTATTTATTTTCACTGTTGGTTTAATCAAGTATGTCACGTATTAATTTAATCTAGCTCCTTTTTCAAGTGTTAAAAAAATTATGTATGATAACAAATATCTATACAACATATAATGAATGGCACGAAAGATAATACTATGTATTTACAGTCTTTATTCAAAATCATTTCTGATTCGATATATGTACACGTAGTAAAAACTATTTATTAACATATAAGTTTGAGCCCAACTTTTGCGAACACTCTGTATAAATTTTGCTCTTTAAACATTTGTTTCATAATTGTTGTAATTTTGAATGATCGACATAAGCCGATAGATATTATTACAATTAGCTAATTAGACAAGTTGGTGGTGATAGCTTAATAGCTTGTGGTGATAAATTCAACCTGTTTTAACGCACACACATATGTAGTAAGCTTAGTCCCCTTCCGTTTGTGATAATGTCCCCTTTTTTCTCCATATACGTCGTATTTCCCATGAGTCCTGTTTCTTTGTACTGCCTATGCTTACGTCATACGTGCGCCGATAATATGGAAATGAGAGTGTCATTGGCCGTATTATTCCTTGACAGAGTAACATCGGGACACATGGCGTCCTTTACTGTTCACATTGAAATTTCGCAAAATTCAACGACCCAAACATTTGATAACCAAAGGCCTTTATTGGAAGAAGAGGCTGAGTCATTTGAAAAACGGATGTGCGTTTTATACAGATTAATATGCATTGACGGACGCGTTAAAGTACGTTTGATAGTTATATAAAATTCATCAGAAAAGCATTTTATAAAGAGAGCACTTTGTATATTAATATAGTTAATTTTCCTTTACCTTTAAAATTAATTTTTCTTTACTTAATTTTTCTATTCTGTCAATCTGGAGAAAAATGATTAGCGTTGTATAAACGCCGATGACGAATTCATTGAAGCACATGTATTCGAGTATTTTTTCTCGATTAATCGAGGAATAATCGATCTGTGTGCAGGTCATTATGGGAGACAAACCCGCAGCGGAGAGAGCATGCAAAGACCCCAACCCCATCATCGACGGCCGAAAAGCAAACGTTAACTTGGCCATTCTTGGAGCTAAACCCAGGGGTAATTTGCAAACGAGTAAGTACATTTTATCATTTCTAAGATTAGCGGCGATTTGTCGATTCATGTTTTTTTCGTTGTGTTTCACATCTTATGCTTTCCATAAATTACAATAACAGATAATTAAAATAATATATTTATTTATTTATTTATTCATATATAAATATAATGATTTGATTTTGCATCGATTTTGCCACAATCTATTGCAAATATATTCCATAGAAATTATACGAACCGACTTGCAACCGCCTATATTCCCTTGACAAATCGATCTGTGTCTTACATTTTTGTCACCAGTTTCTCCTGACTACGGAAACAGCCTATAAAATATGTCCTGATTTAGACTGACCGTACAACGGATTCAGTTAAGCGGCCTTAATCGATTATTCACATTGAATTCTTCATGAAATGGCTATTGACAGGGCTGCATTCTCGACCGCGCTTAACCCTTAGCCGTGCTCGTGCAGAACTTCAAACGTTTCGCGAATTATCGTGAACTATATGTGATAAGTTCACGATCGGGATCGATACTCGCGAGCTTTATGGATCGCGATCGTGTCTCGTCCGGATTCGCGATGCGCTTCTCGTTTGGTACTCGTGTGCTTAGATTTTCGCGTGTCATAATCACGGGTTTTACGCCGTTGACACCACGCCAAAGATCGCTGAAAGCTCATTCCTCGCGGCAGGATGCGTGTAACGCGCATCTTGGACGGCGAAAAATAATAATTCCGTCGCATTATTCATTGACCTCGTGCGTTTCTGACGAAACCCTGACGAATCAAGACAATCGATTCCCGACGTTAATCGTGTTACGTGGAAAATGCAGTGTCGCTCGGATCTCTATTCTTTATTTTTACATCAAGAAATATGAGAATAGCTCACACGTTGTCATTTCCGAGGCTGCATCCAACATGCAGATACAAATAGTCGGATAAAAGATAATCACTGTTTAGACAAACAATTCGTACAACTAATGAAATCTCGACGTGCATCGTGAACGCAAGACGAAGAGCGCGAAAAACAGAACGACGATCAGCCAAATCGCGAAGTGTCCCCTGAGTCACTCTCTCGAACTCTCTCGGTGGCCTCGGGCCAAGATAGCTCGGCGTTTTGAGACCTAAGTCTAAAATTGCCTTAACCCGAGTACCGGACTTGTTTCGTTTTTCTTTTTACCGACGCGAGGATTGTCTCTAGCTTGCGTGGAGCAAGTGCCGCGGCTTAAAACGAATTTCGGCCGCTGTAGGTTGACCTATTCGCAATATTAATTTATTTATCTATTTCATCTATTCGCGCGCGGTAATTATTCCTTTGCCAAATGCGCAAAATATAGATCATCATAAAAAAAGAATAAATTGATACAAAGGAAAGTAACATCCAAAAAGATATCTTGTTTTTAGCAGAATCTTTTTACATATGGCCTCAAGAAAATTTTTCTCAACTCAATAGAAATATTTCTAAACACAATATTCTTAAAATTAGAGAAGAATATTGTCTTTTATCTACAGTACAAATCCAGTTCTTAATAGAATTTTTTTCCAATAAGGGTGCATCCTATTTCAAATGAATATATTCCTCCTGATTCAAACGAAAAAAAGTTAGAATAATACCTAATAGATTTTCGATTAATATAGCTCACTTCAAAAGAAGAGTAATATTCCTTAGGTAAGTGTTTTCGCTTAGAAAATGGGATTACAGGAAATAGCAGCTAGAGTTTTCTTTTTGGAAATGAAAATATTTTCTTTATAGTTTTAGAGAAATCCTCTAAAATCCTGAGGCCAGATATAAGAAATTCTAAGGAGATATAAGAGGATTCGCTCTCTGCTAAGAATAAAATTTTTTTGGGTGAAATAAAGAAGATAAAATACATTAAGAGAAACGTTTGCAGTGACGTAATATCGATCGTTTCACTTATTGAATCGAAAATACAATATGTATATGTATATATGTGTGTGTGTGTATATATATAATGCAACGATCATGTTTATGGATTTACGTGGCCAAGTATATATTTTTTGCAACACATTTATTACTTCATACGAAGAGATCTAAATTTTGCACGCGCTGAACTTTTGTACCCGATTAGATTGCACCTAAAAGTTAAAACTTCACTATGGCATAACTATTTCAGTATACAGCAACTAATATTCCCGTATGGAACATACATATCGCGCCATGGCGCGACGTGAAGGGCGAGACGTATTCTCGATAAGGACGAGTTATCGTGATGTATTCGGTTGCATGGCCATTTCGAGTTTATTGCACGCCGTAATGCATTCGGTGATAGCGGAGCATGCCATCGGTGCATCAATACGTAGCTTCGTGTGCACGCGTCGTGTGCGTGTGTGTTCGCCTCTACATTCACGTGTCCGCTCATACTTGACGGCGTGGCGCGAAAACCTGTAGGGTGTAACAATTATTAAATGATCTCGTTAAGGGTCAGGCAATTTCGACGGTACGCTCGAATGAGTCGAGAGGAAACGACGAAACGTGCAAATATCTGCGCGCCTTTACAATCGTCGTATTCGCTCAACGATCGGCGCAGGAAGCGTGAATTCTCGTATCCATCATGAGTCATGCGAATTTTCGGTTCACTCGCTCGGAAGACGTCAGACTCGTTATTTTCGCAATGATAATTTTGTACATATCGATTCGGCGGGATTTAACGGAACACTGTTTCTATATTGATCATACTAATGAATAAAACATGGCGTTACTGGAAGACGGCACTGATTTTCGACTAAAAATATGAACCAGTTTGACCACTCGTTCCGTTAACTCCGTAAACTGACACAATGCTGTCTTACACGTGACGTTGTGATGGATTATTGAATCCGCCATGTCGTTATTAATATATATTGTCGCTCGTACTGTGACTTCCAACAAGTTCATGTATTCTCGCGCTGATAGGTACGCATTGTCCGAAGAAAAGGACGCATCGAAATCCAAAAAGTAGAAAAACGTCCCGAGAAATCGTGATTCCGGGAATTGAATTTCAACGAAATCTCCAAAAGTACAATTTTCGCGGAATATTGGAGACATGCAATTGTCTCGATAAGGCTATAGTGTTGAAATTAGAATACCAAAACGATACGATTACAATACATTTACATTACTTTACATTACGATACATTACAATTTCCTTTTTCCATAAAAAACGATAATCGAAATATGGCAATAGTTAATCTAAAGCGAGAATCGTTACTCATATTCTGGAAATAGCGAGGCTGTACTATCCGACTAGAAATTTATCCACGCTCTTGAACAGGTGGATCCCATCAGTTATCTGGCTTGTGTAAGGTGATATTATCGAGTCCTAATTATTACCTTTTATATGGTATCTACGCCTTGGGCACCTTAATCTGGCATACTAGGATCAGAAAGAATCTCATACACCGAGAAAAATCATCCGATAAAAAATTAACAAGTATTTTCGCTCAAAATACCGACAAATTTTGATATCCGAAACATTCGATGAGAGATATCGGTTTATAATTTTTTGATCAGTTTATCTGATGAAATGCTATTATGATAGGAAGTATCCGATTAAATTTAATCGGATATCCTAATCGGATATAAGAATTGATCGGAATTTGATCGGAAATATTCGTTTGTTAATTTTTTATTGGGTGATTTCTCTCAGTGTAGTAACTTTGGCGATTGATATGTGTGGCTCAAAAGTACTTAAAATTCATATTTTCACTAACAATAACTCTTTAAGCATGTGAATCGCAAGTCTCCACTTTGGGTAAATAAAAGTTAAATATCGATTGAACTCGAAAATAACTTAGTGTGTCAAATCAGGATTAATAATCCTTGTTATTAATAACAGGGTCCTGATTGCCACGTTGTGTTGCATGACTTATCAGGAGCCGGTAACATCACTTTATACAGACCAGACAGCTGATTGGGATCAAGCTGATCAAATGATAGAGTAAACTTCTAGTTGGATATCTCCAGGAAAGTCCTCTCGAATAAATTGGAATTTAGAAATGTAGCTGTGAAAAATTCCACGGATGTCCGATTATAGTAACGAAAATTCAGGCTTGATTATGGAGAGCTGGGATTCACCTTTGTTTCGTTTGTGCTTTTTCAGCATTCCCGTTCGCTGCAGGCATTCGGGCTGGATATCCAGCAGTTCTTCCTGGGCAGTATGGGTAAGTCATACAATTGATGTGCTTTGTCAAGGGATATTAAGAACGTACATGTCGTAACTGTAGTTAGATCGAAGTAGTTTCTAAGTCGAGGGGAGTCTTCGCGATCGTACGTAGCCGCGCCGGCTACCGAATTTTCTCGCTGCAAGTCAAAGTGAAGTCTTTCCCGGTCGCGTTCTTTCGCTCTTCAGAGCAGTTGTTGGGTTCTTGATTACCGCGTGTAAGCAAGCTAAATTACACGGATTTTCGCACGAAGTCTTGGAAGCTTGCTAATTGGCAGACTAATTCAGATTTTTCGAGATCGTTGTCGTGCCCGTAGTTGACGAGAATTGAGAGTTTCTCTCGCGTTTCGCGGAAGTACGGTAAATAACGTCTCGAACCGTCCTTGCAGCGAGCGTTTACGATTCGTTCACTTTCGCGCAACAGTTTTCCGGGAATGTTGGGGATGCGATGAGAATTAATAGTCCATGACGCAACGTTTTCAAAAAACTGAGAAGGTACTCGCTTAACGAATGGAGTCGCACGGCCGAGTAGTTTAACGAGCTTTTCTTAAAGACACCATATATATGACGTTTCAGCATCCTGACGCGCGCGCGTAAGGAGACGAGCAGGGAGTCCTCTTTCCGAGATCCTTGAGAGGGGCCAAGAGCCGTTCTAAGGACCCATTAATGCGAAAGAGAGACAAAGAGAATAAAAAAGGAAAAAAAACAAAAGAAATGTATTAGCGATCAGTGAAGTAAAGCAAAAGTGAAAGAGAGGGAGAGAGAAAGCGGCACACGCACACGTATCACAGACCAGTATGAGTACCTACGAATTTCTTTCCGTGAAGTATATAGCGGAGATCTTCTGGGGATCGGCCTGTTCTTCTTCTCCTAATGTACTTTTCTTTGATTGTGGTTTTTTGTCACTTTTTTTCTTGGTGAAACTGACGTGAAGTGATGAAAGTGATTGCGGTTGCTGAGAGATTTGCGATTGTTTGTTACTGGTTTTCAGTTTCTTACTCTTTTTTTTTTGTTAATTCCATATCTTCACTCTTTACACTCCTTTTTTTCTTAATAAGCATAATATTAATAATGATAATCGTAGTGATAATAATCGCAGTATCGATGGCTGTTATCTCGTCGATTTCGCACCACCGCCCAACAGCCTGAATGCACAATATAATTTTACAAAGCAAAGTGTCGAGATTTTCCAACGAATCGTTAACTTTTCGTTTGCGACATTGAAGAGCGAAACTTTGTAAATTCGCAAAATTTTACGTCAGATGTCAAACCGTTCAGAGAATCATGATATTTTAGAAATGTTACCTCGGGACGCCAAAAATTTAACGAAATTAAATTTTGTAAAGTAACTGTTCTCTTTTGATACATCCGAGAAATTTGAACTGGAAAAAATATAATCCATATTATTGTAAAAAAATTTGCCAATTAATCCAGTTATCAATAACGCGAATTAATAGTTTACAGTTGAAGATTACCGCGAAAAAATGTTTGCTCACTTGCCAACGAGCAGTACTCGAAGTGTTTTCTTGTTTTTGTTCGCGTTTCACCACACTCCAGAGAATCGTGCACCCTTTGGCGATTCGTTTCTTTATTTTCACGGTCATCTGTATATTGTGCTCTGTTCATTAGATTTGCTGTCTTGGCTTGCACTTGGTGGTGGGAAATGCGCTGAAACGGTGCAGGAATAACATTTTCCAATTTTAGACGCGGACTTTCGGACCTTAGGTACGGCTTTTCGAGTCGCGTCATTTCCTCTCGCGCCGAGTTGTTTGTCTGTTAGTCGAAGCGAGATACTTTATTAGACGGGTTGCGTGGCGAAATTGTGATTTCCGCACGGTATCTGATCGGATCGGTTCTGATTGCATTCTTCGGGATTAAAAGTCGTAGGGAGCCGCGTTTAAGCAGAGTGCTTTTCGCGTTTAGAAAAGATCGCGGAATAGCTGGAAGGTTTCCTCGTTAAATTAACGCAAGCCAAGGAAGAAGCGTATCTGATTCATTCCGATCCGCGAGCGAACCGTCCGGCCATTGCTTATAAATATTTAGTCTTTCGTGGCACGTAGACCATGCAGACTTCTCTTCGCGTCTCGCGCTCGCCCGCCTTTCGTAAAACGCCTTTCGCGATTCCGCGAGAACGTGAAACGAGGGTATACCGTGGCGGAAACCGGACCATGCGGAGAGCAGAGAGATGAGAGAACGCGGCGCGCGTTGGAATTCGGCTGAATAATGAGGAGCGCGGCCGATTTCGCGGACCCCGTGAGATTCTCTTCGCGCTGGGAAAGGCTCTCCGCCGGAAATCGACCGGCACCGAGACACGAATGGCGTGCATTAATTTTTGATCGCGCGACGATCGATCCTATCGTGGTTCACCTCGTTTGGCCCGGCAGATTCCGCAATGCCACACGAAAATTTCATCGAATGTGAGGAACGCACAAGGTAGACTTGGTTTGCGCCAATGGAGTTAGAGTGAGAGTTTATTGTTTAGTCTTGAGTATATATACATTATTTGCTATGCATGGAGAAAATATTGTTGCAAAAGTCGCAGCAAAATTTATATAACATTGAACCGTAAAGAATTATGACCGAGATTACTATATATTTGTTGTGCACGTTTGATGTTTTACTACAAGATTATTATAATTACTCGAATGCTTTTTTATACATTGGGTAGATTATAAAATTTACCATTTCTGTAGTAATTCGTACTACAATTTCGCAGTAGTCCAGCTTTATAAAAGATATTGTAAAAAGAGACATGATTCCAGCGTAATTTTAGTAATCTGAGATCATGCAGAATTACGACCGAAATTATTACATATTTCTTTAAAAATGTTATACTCATTTGATTATTCACTATAAAATTACTGTAATTACTAAATGTTTTTATATACCAGATAGATTGCCAAATTTCTATAACATTTTATATACACAGTATTTCACAGTACAAACAAGCAAATTACAAAAGATATTGTAAAACAAATATAATTTTAACGTAATTTTATTACAATATTTCCTCCGTGCACCAAAAAAAAAAATATAATTTCATCTTCAGTGAAATCTTCCTATATATGTGGCCTCAAGAGGGCTCTTCTAAAACTAGAAAAGGAAATATTCTAAGCACAGTATTCCTAAAATTAGAGGAATTTCCTCTTTTATTTGCAGTACAAGGACATTCTGCTTTAGGTAGAAATATTCTTCTTAATCCAAAAGAAATGTTAGAATAATATCCAGTAGATTTACAATAATTCACTTTATTAGAAGAGGAATACTCTTTGCGTAAAAGTTTTCGCTTATGGGATTAGAGGAAATAGCACTTTGCATTTAGAGTTCTTTTTTAGAGTATTTTCCTTTTTTGTTTTTGGAGGAATTTTTTCTTGTGGCTAATATATGAAAGGATTCTGCAAAGATGAGATTATTTTGGGTGTAGAAAAATACAGTATTAGATTTGATAATGTCTGACACAGACGCAGCGCGTGCTAAAAATTTGTTTGGAAAGAAATGTAAAGAGAGAAAAAGAAAGAGTTTGGATTACACGAGTCTTTCCAGAAAAAGAAAAAACTATCTCGATGATTCGCTGTCCCTTTTTAGATGACTGGTCTTATGGTACAGGCAAATGAAAAAGTTGAGTCAAAGTGATTTTGGTGCAATCGAGCCACAGACACGAGGACGATCTTTCGCGGGTTGGGTCGGATGAGAAAGACAAGCGGTTTTGCAAAATTATTTCCGGCAGGCTGACACATCGCGTGGGTTCAGGGTTAGAGGACGTTAGAGGAGCGCGACGTGGTATAGATATGTTCCTCCTTGGAATGCGATAAGATCGATCGAAGTGTCTTCCGTAGAATACGGATGCCAGTCGAGACTGCATAGGATTCGCTAACCACTACATAATATTAATAACCTTGTGTGTGTGGTGAAAGCTTACACTACACTTGGTGTCGCTATTGGTGTTGTATTTCTTTTCCCTTTTTTCCTTTTATTTTTTTGGTGTTGTACGTGGATGATTTTTGGACTTTCAAATAACACGGTGTAGCTCTCTCTGTCGTGAGATAACGGAACACGGTGTCGCTGCGAATATGTATCTTCTCTCCCTTCTTGTTTTTTTATTATTATTACCCGTAATTTTTACTCGCGAGTGTTACATCGGGATGCCGTTATCGTTTGCAGCATGAGCGACTGTGAGGGCGCCCGGTGAAGAAATATGATATTTTTCCGAGATTATATATATTCGCGCCGTTATATTAAATATATTCGCGGCTACGGAAGAGAGAGAGAGAGAGAGAGAGAGAGAGAGAAAGAGAGAGAGAGCGCAGTCGCAGCGTCGATGGTAAAACTTTCGTGGGATTCGATTTTTTCCAGCCGCTCGCGCGCGAGTGGCGGTGTTCTCTTACGAAGAAATCCGAGACTCCCCTTTCTTCTCGCTCGTTAGTGGAAGACTGCGGGAGATGTCCCGACTTTCCTCGTCTCGCGGGGAAATGGCTCACAATCGCATGAAGAAAGAAACGTGAACGCCGCGCGTGAAGAGGGGTCCCTTTTTCGTTTTCCCTTCTTTTTCTCTGCCGTTTGCGCTTCAGTGGGGGGCCCCGTGCAAAGGCCGAGGGTGACTCTCGCGTAAAGGCGAAACGACGAGCCCGAAGTCCGTTATAAATTCCCCGACGAGATCGATCACTCTGGGCACTTTTTACTCCAACGCCAAATTACCCCGCCGCGCCGACACGCGTTATTGGAGTTCGTCCTCGTCGTTGTCGTCGTCGTCGTCGTCGTTGTCGGCGTCATGCATAGGCGTAGATGAGCGGAGCCACGACGCGCGTCCTCAAATTAGCGAAACGTAGGTGGAAAAGTGAAATCCAACACCGGCCCGGCCGCCGTGGTAGACGTCAGAGACGGTTCCGTCGGTGCTAGTAAATTCGTGTCGTCGTAAACGAGTGTCGACGACGACGACAACGACGACGACGACGACGACGGCGACGACGACGACGACGACGACGACGACGACAACGACGACGA